AAAAGCACCATAACTTCACTATGACTTTCTCGAAATGATGACTTCTTTGAGTCTGAAGCTTTGCAAATATTCAGGGACGCCAATGCAACATTTTCAGCTCTCCGGGTGGAATGCCTAGAAATGCTACATGTCTTCCGTCGTGATCTCAAATTCTTGTTCAGATTATAAATAAAACCAACTATTTTACAACTAATGATATCATTGTTGCTTGTGTTAAGTAGATTATAGGCGATTCTCTGGTGGCAACGTCCCTTTTCTCTGAGATTTCAGAAACAATGCTGCTCAGCGTGTGGAGATCCTTGGCTGCTTCTGAATCCGGACTTTGTTATGATTTATATTCAGTCGTCAGCAAAACGAAATGAGACAGTATCATAAGAGCTGCACTGACTCAATGGCAGCTGTTAAATCTGGAAATATTGTAGCTGGATACAGTTTTGTAACTCAAGGTATGGTGTCATTTTATGTATGAAGCGCGAAGAAATGATAATTACAAGTCTTCATCTTGGACACTGTGGTCCTTGTAACTATAGTCCCCCCTGTGTGCACTCACACCCATGCAAATACTCCCCAGACAGTAACACATTATTCATTTAAATCACAGGCTAGCTACTGTCATCATCAAATAAAGTGACATTATCATGTTGACATTTGATTTGATATCTAACACTTATTTACATGTATTTACTCCGAAAACCTGGTCAGATTAAGAATAAGTTGGAGCTTCGAATATTATTTATTCCATTTTAAACTGGATCAAAAGTTGTTACCGATGCTCCATGATATTCCATTCAGGTCAGGAATTAGAATTTGAAGGCAACGACAAGGCCATCCTGGACCTCCCAGGGCTACAGCTGCAGCTGCTGCAGGATGCTGTCATCTTCGGCTAGGGGAGGTGGAGGCAGGTCACGTCAGCGAAACTGGGACATGCGGTATATCACTGAAAGTCATAACATGATCAGTGTTATTTCTCTGTAATAATTGCTACGGCAATAATATCAACTACCATTACTCACACTACGTTCGCTTTTATGAATCAACTGCCGCCGTTACAAGGTATCATTACGTCTCTCGAACCTGCTTCTGGTTCCAAGGTCTTCACCCTTCGTCTGTTAAATGGTTGGCCCCTCAATATCACATTGCCTGCTATCCAAACGTCGAATTTATCATGAAGCTTTTTCCCCCAAACACACGCAACAGTCGAGGCCATGCAACGAGTAGTTTTGCCGGAGGGACCAAAATATAAAAAAACTGCCAATCCCCTGGCCAATATTTTAACACCGTGGGAGAAATATGCAATAAGTTACAATGATATTCTATTTATTTACTCCTTTCAACATCTGGTGCCAAGGTCATCCTCCTTCTATTCAACGCGGGGCCGCTCAACATTACATTGGCTGTTGTCCCAATCTTCAGGTTATCATGGAACTATTTTTACCAACACAAGCAACAGGCGAGGCACTGCGGCGAGTACTATTGACGGAGTGACCGAACTCAGTTCCTGCCGGGAGACTTCCGGTTACTTGGCCATTGTATATCAATTCCGTAGGTTAACATGTATAACTCAAAACAATGAATGGTTACATTGTTGTCGATTGTTTAAATGTATGAATGGCGGGCGCTATCGGTAGAACATGACATGCTTACCCTTCACACAACATCTGCTGTAATCACTGATCACTCATCCATTAACATATATAGTGTTCACCACTATTACGCCCAATGGAATCTGTTTCACAGTTAATCGAGAGCTGAATATATTATTCTGAGCGGTCTCATTTTTCAATATTTATTTAAAATTTAACCATATTATTCTTTGGCCAAGAGGAAAGCTGAAATTATTTCTTTTGCTTTAAAAATATACTGTATACTCCATAACCTAGCGCTGTAACGTATTTCATGATACAGTTGGTGTTTAGTACGATTTGGGACTGCGCGTAAATAGTTAAATGCTGCCAAGATAAACATATAAATATGAATTGTAATATGTTTCAATAACAAACTTTAATGGAGTAATAGTCAAACATGCATGGACATCGAAGTCATCTTATGTCATCGCACATGTTGTCCTGAACTACATGTAGTTGTGCTTTCTGAGTACATTTGAGTACATCTGAGTGACAAGTTGCCTCAGATGACGGACTACTCAATGAACGGACGCACAGACCGGTACGCCACGTATCCAGTTCTCTTCCCCTTCGGCTACGGTCTGTCCTACACCAGCTTCTCCTACGACCTTTTGGAGTGTCCCACTCAGGTGACGGCCGGGGACAACATCACTTGTCCTGTCTCACTAACCAATCGAGGGGCTTTTGATGATGATGAGGCATGTAGTTATGAAAGTAAACATCTTCATCATTCAGCCTCTGACAACATGTTTCTTACACACTAGGCGCGACAGTCAACGCAACTCTTGACCTGTTAGACTACTTCATGACCAAGGCTGCGATCTTCATAGCACGTAATAGTAGTGTGACCAATTATATCTGTCAGCTAAAAGCCTCTCCCACACCTGGATGACGGATAATGGACTCATTTATTTGTTTTACGAATCTTGAAGGTCGAATAACACACAACGAACTTATTTTTAGTTGTAGTAGATCAGGCCGTTCGCTCACGCATTGCATTCCTAGGCGATTTCTATTTTCTAAGTGAATGGAAATACCGTTTGAACCAAGTGAGCTTCTTTCTGTTTGTTATTAATTGTGATTAACAAATAAGAAGCTAATGTTGTTTTACTCAGTAAAACAGATTTAATGACAGGATTTAAAAACAGGATAAAGGATGCGCTCCGTCATGGAAAGATGTCACAAATCCATCTACCCTCGGTTGTTTCGATATATACCATAGACCCATTCACCGCCACAGCATCGTTTTGGAAGTTCGGTCACCATCGCCACCTCTCTCATCACAAAAGTAGCACAGGCTTCCCCTCAACGTGTTATAACTGAAATACTGTCCAAAACGGCGTTCAACGCATCCTATTCACTCACTCCTCGTGTGTTCAGGAAACAAGGAAGGGTGCCTTGATATGGCAGTAGGTTTAGACAATTTTGTCCACATATTTCAACCTTCTGATTCAATCATGTGTTTCTAATATGTCCTAAGAAACGTTCTGATATGATGTTCTTTACACAAAATCTTCAAAACCTTAAAACAATAACCAGGTTCAAAATCTCCATCTAAATTTGACGTTATGATACACCTTTATTTCGTTGTTCTTCTCAGCTCTCATGTCATTGTGGGTTGGAGGTCAGCAGCCTCACGTCAAACCAGCTACCGAATCTAATGTCATTTCAGCCCGATTCACGATTATTGGACTAAACGTTCTTGGTCATTATTGAGCAAAGCTCCTTTTTTGCTGTCTTTTTTTCATTTCGTTTTAGTTACTGATCATACGTGATTCTGATAGCAGTGTATAAGATACTTCAATGTGATAACCGGTAATGACTAATTTCAGCCGATGAGAGCGATTATGATTGCGACCTGTATATGATAAGTCCAGGGAACTAGTGGTTGATAGCATGAGCAACGAACATGATCTTCTATTTGTTCTTTTGACGTATATTTGATACTATGCATCTAGCTTTGATTGCTGCTATTTCATTTGTCTATGCCGTTTTCTGTTATAGTTATTGCTTTGGTAAATAAAAGCTAAGTCTTTATCGTTACAACAAACTAAAGATAAGTCTCCGGTAAACTGAGCTTGCTATATATCGTATTTAATACATGCGCCCATGAAGAAATGGACTGACCATTTGATATTCTTTTGGTGCAGGGTAGGGGATATTATATGGGCACTTGACATTTTTTAGCTTCAGAATCAGATATATATTTAATCAAAACCATGGGCTAATTTTTTTAATTTCACAACATTATTTTGTGTAGTCGACATTATTTGTCTATTTTCTCAACATATTTTCCCAGACCTTCCAATTTCAAACGATCGCTTGTTCAATTTGTCTACATGACGCCACATTGTGTGGCAAACATAGACATGCGGTTATAAAGCATATAAATCAAAACAAACATACGAACCAAAAATAATATCTTGTCGAAGGATTTACGTACTTATTGAATGTCACAAACAACTAACATCACAACTACTGGTAGCCTATTCGCTCGTCACACCGAAGGCGGTTGTTTGGTTCCCCACATGGGTGCACTGAAGCCTATTAAGTAATGTCATCCGTTTTGAAATTGCTGGAATATTTCTATGCAGCAAAGTGAGAGCTAACTGACTATCACTTATCATTGTAGGATTCGCAACAGCGAGATACGGTACCTTGTTTCAAGGGATCACACATGACACTACAGCATAAATAGTTTGTATTGCAGTACCTGCTTTCAAACCAGTTCCTCGCGGAGAGCAGCAATTACCGGTGTCAAATTCCAAAGCTTTGTTTGTTTGGTTTCTTGTTTAATTCCGCACTCAACAATATTGAAGCTACATGACGGCGGTCAGTAAATAATCGATTCTGGACCAGAAAAAATCTAGTGATGATCATCGATCTGCGCACTCAACCAAACCTGCGCCAGCGAACCTTGCCAGCCCGTTAGTGGCCTCTCACAACAGGCATGGGCTGCTGAATATCAATTATTCTTACCTGGATTTTCACGTGTTTAAATACCATACATATCCTTGCGAGCATCAATTAATACATAGGTTAACTCAATCCTGTGCGTGACATCATGAACATCTATCAACGCAATTAAGATACGATGACATGCAACAGCCAAGTCATCGAGCCTGACCACACGATCCCGTTAGGGGTCTCTTTCGACGGTTGCTGAAGACCAATTCGAACCCGAAATCTTTACGGGACGAGAAACCAGTTGATGTCATGGGGGACGTGTTTGGTGTCATGAAATTCCACAATGTCCTCCACTACAAAATGACTAAGTTCTAACCCGGATCTTTACGGGTTCAAATCCCAAGGAAAACAGGAAACGACACCATACATATCCATGTACACATCTATAAATAAATAGGTCACCTCTACTTATATCCTTGCTCTGCAGCCGTCCTACAACCAGTCATATACACACTGTCGTCCCTGAACAATGCTTTTCCTCCTCTTCCTCGCATCACTAGTGGCGGGGGACTTCCCCTTCAGAAACACATCCCTACCCTGGGCGGACAGAGTCAACGATCTCGTGGGTCGCCTCACCCTGGACGAGATCAAACTACAAATATCCCGTGGGGGGTCGGGGCCCAAAGCTGGCCCTGCCCCTGCTGTACCACGACTGGGTATCACACCCTACTCCTGGAACACCGAGTGTCTCCGAGGGGACGCGGGGGCAGGGCACGCCACAGCCTTCCCCCAGGCCATAGGACTTGGAGCCTCATTCAGGTAAGACCACAGAAAATATTTGAAAACAATGACTCATGACTGTATGAGCACGCGTCATATCGATAAACAAGTTACATGTAGCATGCATATTCATCATGCATTAATAATACTGGCTTTAAATGTAGTCTTATGTGATAATGCAAACAAAATATATTCCATTAAATACGCATTCAGTTATGCACAGTATACAAAGTAGCACGTCTGATTACCTGAGTTCATATTTGTGTAATATGTTTAATCGACCGTGACCACGTATTTTCTTCTCTGTATGCGGATGTATGTTGAATTATATAGCTGCAACTGTTGTTAATGTAACACTCCGATAAGGGCGTTATGTTAGTCAAAGGAAATTCCAACCATTCCCAACTGCAGGATCTACACAATGACACGGAACTGCTAAATGTTAGCACTCATGACGACGCGCTGACACCACGCTCGCTGTTTGTTATTCATTTCGCTTTGACCTCAAATGGCATTTCTGTCTTAAGTGCATTCCTACTGCCGTGGCGGACCCTCGGGCAACTGGAGGCGTGATATTTAGCCGGGCTGACTGTTCAGGTGTTCAGGTGTTCAGGTGTTAACAATGATGTATTTTGTGTCGGCATTGTTTTTGTTACTCTGAATGCATTAAACATTGTCACACTAACAATCTAACGTAATTATTAGTATCAAGCGTAGCGGTTTACATAATGCTCCGTACTGAGGAAATATAGGATAATGCTCTAATTGTTCAGATATGCATCTTATCAGTTAATTGTAAGTATCAAGATATGAGTGAGTGAGTGAGTGAGTATGGTTTTACGCCGCTTTTAGCAATATTCCAGCAATATCACGGCGGGGGACACCAGAAATGGGCTTCACACAGTGTACCCATGTCGGGAATCGAACCCGGGTCTTCGGCGTGATAAGCGAACGCTTTAACCACTAGGCTACCCGACCGCCCCGTATCAAGATATGGACAATATGTATACTTCCAGAGTGCAGTGTTGACGGTCCTTATCATTCATAAGTTTTCAAGATTATCACACACTAGTTAATATCTCGCAAGACACCAGATACTGTTATGCGCGTGATATATTAAATCTAGTGTAGTTATTAAGTTAAGAGGTACCCTCCAAGGTGGGTGAGTGAGTTGTGTTTATCGCCGCTTTACCCTCCAAGGACATTGGTCAATGGGCCCTGTATGAATTAGTGAGTGAGTGAGTGAATGTTGTTCAAAGCCCATGTCAGCAATGTTGCAACGATATCACAAAGGAACGTGAAAGGTCGCGTCGACAAACTAGTGGTTGATAATATGAGCACATTGTACTATGTTCTACCCGCATTACCGTGGGGTATGTTATTTTGGGCACACGTGAAATATTGAGCATCCCCGAAACCCATGAATGTTAATGTGTTAAGGAAACTCTCGACCATATCGACCATATAGTACTGAACGCTTTATGTGGACGGTGTCCCTGTCATTCTACGACACCGCTAACTGATTACATCTAAACTATTTCTGTATTTTCACGTTATTAACAACGATCGGAGAACTTCCTCCGTTGTTTGCTGTAGGTATCTGTGGAACCACTCAGCATGCTGTAAATCCCTCAGAAGTCGACTAATGAGCTAATGGTGGTTAGAATTCAGTTGGCGCAATGGTTGTTACACTAGACGCAGAGACTATATTTAATTTTCATCTTCTCAGCCATACATAAAGAGAGTGATACTAGTATGATTTTGTGGTCAACTGACACGCAGTGAACCATTCCCCAATCAATTTAGACGCCTTGTACGACTAGCATCGCTTTCTTGGGACCAATTGTAACCAGGCTTTAGACATTATGAAAGAGACCCTTGTTCCCTTGGCGGTATAATAACAATCCTAACAAGTAACATGTTAGCGTACAGGAGATCTTGAGCTTTGAGTGAGTGAGTTAACAATTTACGTCACATAGGCATTATTTAAGCTATACTGCGACACGTCAGTTATGTACAATCGAAACATTGATATGTGCCCCGATGGGTCTCCGCACTTGATGGTCGAGTACGTGAAATATATATATAAACCTATCACTGATATGTCCCATTATACTGGAGGTACTCGAATTTCATGTAATGACCTCTTGCGGAGTTGGAGGTTTTACTTCTAAAAAGTAAGACCCAATAAGAGGTCTTACTTTCAAAAGTAAGACCCAGTAGCAGGTCTTACTTTTTCGGGGTCTTATCGGGTCTTACTGTTTAAAGTAAAACCTTGCCCTGATTTCGAAACAAACCAAGTTTTCAGTCAAAACCGGATTTACGACATTAGCAAATTTAGCCCACAAAAACGCTTCAGTGTGATAGTTTGTACAAAGTTACAGTATAGGTTGAAATCAGGCTTTAGCGTTGGAAACATGTAGAGAAATTTAGTCAGAAATAATTTTGAGTAAGAATTCTCAAGTTTGTTTTGAGAAATCGGAGCCCGTTTCAGATACCTGATTTTCTTAATCCTTCAAAAAAAACAACAACAACCAATTTTTCAACAATTCTTTATTTCATTTGAAATTAATAGTTAACGAATACTGCTTGTCTTTGCATTTTCCACAGTTAACAGAAACTTTTGATTCTGGTTCAGAAGTTTGAGCAGTTGGTTCAGAATCAACGTTTCTCTTTCTGTCAGGGACAACGCACAACAGGTCGGAAACTGATGCCTTTTGGTCATCTGAAGACCTCTTGTACACCCGAACGGCTTTACTGCGGTGACCTGAAATTCAATTAAATAAAGTATTAAACTGAAGAACCAAATTCAATCTATTACAACAGATTCCAATCCTCCAAAGTGAGAATGCATTTAAATAGTAGTTATACATACATGCTGCATAAATACATTCTCCAAACTGTACAGTTCAGTATTTAGAGTGGTAATATAGACAGTTTCTTCAGTGCTGTGAAGTAGAATGCATTAGTTTCCTTGCCTGCTGCCTTACTGCAGTAAAAGAAATAAACATCTCGGAATATTTTCGAATTTCCATCGACAGTTACAACATGACTTGATATACAACATAAGTACTAGGATAACATATGGCTGCATTCATTCCTTTTTTCGACTGACGCTGATTGGTACATATATATAAACCATTTTACAAACGATTCATTGTTTACCATTTTTCAAAAGAAATCTTACCAAAGAACCCTTTTTTTTTATAAAGGCAGACGTTACATCTCTCCAGGTTCCTTGAAACGAAACAAAAAGTCATCGTCACTCTCTGCTTCATCACTCTTTTCAACGGTTTTGGACTGGGTTATGAACAGTTCTCTGTCGCTGTCTGCCTCATCCATCGTGTCTCCGTCAAATGAATGTTCTAACAGGACACGTGATGCCGCGTAACGAAAATTCCGTGCAGCACGAGCGGCCGTGCGCGCTGTTTTAAAATTAGACCATGCTCCTCGATATACCAGCTGGGTACCACCCAGCGCGGTATAAACAATGCAGTGTTAGGACCGGCAGTATTTGGATAAAGGATACTGTTTTATTTGATCATTAAAATGTAATCTTTTCATTTGACGGTTCATATGTTAGATAAAGTACTCGTCCTCGGTCGGTCTTACTTTTACACTTCCTTCGCACTGAGGTCCTTACTTTTCCAGTCATGACCTCGGCCTCGTACTTTATCCTACACCTATATTTTTTATATAATATGCAGCTGTATCTTATACCAAGAATTGTTTCGTCCCTTCCTGCAGCACAGATCTGATATTCCGGGTAGCCCAGGCCACGGGTGTGGAGGTGAGGGCCAAGTTTAATGACTACATGAGGAAAGGACAATATGGCGACCACAAGGGTATCAGCTGTTTCAGTCCGGTCATCAACATCGTGAGAGACCCCAGGTGGGGCAGGAATCAGGTGAGATATTCCAGGTGGGGCAGGAATCAGGTGAGAGAACACGGTCTGCGGAAGGAATCGGGTGAGAGAACACGGGTGGGTCAGCAATCAGGTGAGACATTCCAAGTGGGGCAGGAATCAGGTAAGAGACCCAAGGTGGGGGAGGAATCAGGTGAGAGACCCCGGGTGGGGCAAGAATCAAGTGAGAGACCCCGGGTGGGGCAGGAATCAGGTGAGAGATCACGGGTGCGGAAGGAATCGGGTGAGAGAACACGGGTGGGGCATGAATCGGGTGAGAGAACACGGGTGGGGCAGGAATCGGGTGAGAGAACACGGGTGCGGAAGGAATCGGGTGAGAGAACACGGGTGGGACAGGAATCGGGTGAGAGAACGCGGGTGGGGCAGGAATCAGGTGAGAGAACAAGGGTGCGGAAGGAATCTGGTGAGATATTCCAGGTGGGGCAGGATTCAGGTGAGAGACCCCAGGTTGGCAGGAATCGACTAACGACCACGATCAGATGAGAAGTTCATGTCTAGTAGGAAGTACAGATGCTCGAAATGAATGTTGGAACAAGACTAGCGGTCCTTTGTGTTGAAGGAATACGATGAATATTCTTTGTGGAGGAGATCTTTCGGAAATATCAATACCATATTTGCCTCAAATATATCGACAAATCTCTTACATTGGTAGCACGCTAAGCTTTTGTCTCTGTCTTTAAAGCGCTGGGTGGTATAACGATCCCCAATGGAAGGATAAGGTACAACTGATTGTACTTTTTCAACAGGAAACATATGGAGAGGATCCATTCCTAACAGGAGTCTTTGCTGCTAATTTTGTAAAGGGTCTCCAGGGAAGTGATCCCCGCTACATCAGAGCCAACGCCGGCTGCAAACACTTCAATGTCCATGGTGGTCCCGAGAATATTCCGGTGTCACGTTTCTCTTTTGATGCAAAGGTAACGTAAAGATCAACTGCACGTCACAAAACACTGATAGTGTGTGAAAGTAGTTAAACACAGCAAATCAACAATAAAACACAGCAAATGAACAATAGTCAAACTATTTACCTGTACATAACTTATCCCGGATCATGCAAACCAGTCTCTGGAAATAGGTTCACACGTTCACAGAGTCACAGAGTTGGCCCACCGATCTCAGTTTTCGTCGTTTCATAGATAAGCACATGGTCCTAGGGACAAATTTGACACAAGTTACAAAGAAGGAATTTTAAGTACGGGATCATACTTGAAATATTTCATAGCACATTGACAACGGTTTCCCTTTGTTCAATGCAAACCTGGCATGCGTTCCTATTCCCATGTGTATGTTTCTTTCATCATAACGAACCAAGTGTTTTGTGCCGCGTATTAAGATAACGTTGGAGTCATAATTCCAAACTCATTGTTTTTGTTTTCTGTAAATTAACAATAAACAATACATGTTACCTTCCATTAGCATGTGTGCGTACATACGGATGTAAATGCATTGACGTACTTAAGGGTTTGCGTATTGTTTTCCAAAGGTGTCTGAGAGAGACTGGCGCACTACCTTTCTCCCAGCGTTCCGCTCCTGTGTCAAGGCCGGTACCTACAATGTCATGTGCAGCTTCAACAAGTTGGTACTCAAAAACAATACAGCTACCTGCTTGTTCTTACGAAACGGAGGCAAGGGTGTTCCACAAACCATTGGGCACACCAGGATCCTTGTGGGTTCGAATCCCGGTTCGCCCCGATTAGGTTTCTTTGTTTGTCAGCACCATACCCATGCCCGTGGGTTTTTACGAAAGTGGTAAACATATGAGACCTGAATCGCTTCGGGCTTTCCTCCCACATTAAGCTGACACGGCGTGATATAACTGGAATACTGTTCAAAGCGTTGCTAAAACTCAACTCACTCACTAGACTCACTGTTACGAATGGACGCTAATTAAATTAACTTTACGTTCATGTTACAATATTCTGTCCGGAAACGTCACCTTGTAGACTTGCATGTAATCTTCTTTCTCAGATTGATTTACTGAATACACCAAGAATAAATAGGTTGTTGTAAAGATACCACGAACAAAGCCAATAACTTGATAATTTGCGCCTTGAGCATTTTCTTTTCCATGTCTGGTATATGCTCTGATTAAAAATGGAAATTTACTTGTGACAATTATTTTCAAGAATCAACGGAGTTCCAGCATGTGTCAACAAGAAGCTACTGACGGATATTCTGAGAAACGAATGGGGATTCAAAGGCTACGTTATCAGCGACCAGGCCGCCATTGAGAACATCATCAGCGAACACCACTACATCAACAACAGCGTCGACACCGTCACAGCGTGTGTAAAGGCAGGATTGAACCTTGAACTTTCCACGAATCTTCATCAACCCGTCTACTTCTCAGTTGGTATACGATGTTTTTATGTCTTATATGCGATGTTTTTAAAATACATATTTTAGAAAACAAAAACGCCCAGTGCATATGGTGGAAGTTCTAGAATCTGTGTTGTGGGTCCTTATTTCAGAGAATGAAAGTGAATCTTTTGAAGTACTGTCAATTATATTAATTAAACAATAACTCCAGACATAAACATGTTATTGCTTTTTGTAACTTTGACAATTTAACTTATGTATAACTTATTATAACCAAGGCGATTTTTTAAAATTTCAAGGCGTGAACCTACCTCCATTATCCAAACTATCCTGCTCTACACTTGATAGGGATGATCTGATTCAGTCAGATCCATGTCCAAATAGATTCCTATTCTAGAGCCAACATCTCCAAACATCCAGTCGGTTTATCCCCCATCTGCACACTTATAATATCCCTATTAAATTTGGGGTAGTATAATTTATGATATCTCTTTTCTAAAAAATACACTTAGCCAATTTGCCAACATAGATTCGGTCCTCTCCATCTTAAGGTAACTAACTCTCGCGTGTTCTGGCGTGTTTGACCAGATGGCTATTTCTATCGTTATGTCAAGTTCCAGAATACATATCGTAATAGAATGGATACATAACATACCGAATAATCTAGGATGCACATGCAGAAAGTCATTGTATTTCAGTCGATGCTGTGAAACAAGGCAAACTTACCGAAGACGAGGTCAGGGCCAATGTAAAGACGTTGTTCAACGTCAGAATGAGGCTTGGAGAGTTCGACCCCCCGGAAATGAACCCATACTCCAAACTTAACCTGTCGGTACTTCAAAGCGAGGCTCATAGGAACCTGTCTGTAGAGGCAACGCTGAAATCATTTGTGTTGCTGAAAAATGACAATGTCCTTCCGTTAAAGGCATCGAACTACAAGAACGTGGCGGTAGGTGTAAATTGGCTTCAACTTGGAAAGGAGCATTCCATTGGCATTAGTGTGTTGAATCACACCAGAGGACATTTCTTATTTTGCCATTGGTAATGGAACGGCACTGTACGTACGATTAATAACAGAACTATGATCTTCAAAATAATCGTTTTGTAATTTATATTTAAAATGTGTCGGGGTTCCTCAAAATTGTATCAAGCGACCAAAATACAGATAACTATCGCGTTCTGCCTCACGTCTGCAATGATACGATAAATAACAAAATTACTTTTCCTTCAGATTGTGGGTCCAATGGCCAACAATACCATACAATTGTTTGGAAACTATGCTCCTGATATGAACCCCAACTATACCACCAACCCTCTCCAAGGCATAACCACCCTCTGGTCTGCTGTGCGGTACGGAGCTGGCTGTACAGACAATAAGTGTACTCAGTATAACTCCGAGGAAGTCCTGACAGCAGCGAAAGGCGCGGGTCTTATTTTTGTGTGTCTTGGCACAGGTGAGCTAATGCATGTTCTCGGTTTATGATCCCTTTTCTTGTAGTCTCTCTGGTAATGTAAGAAGACTCTATGTCGTAAACGTAGGATAATGACTAGGACAGCAAGGAAAGACACGAATGACAAAATAGTAGGGTTTAACATTTTAGACTATGACCATGATATGTATCAAATACTTCAGGTCAGGAATTAGAATCTGAGGGCAACGACAAGGCCAACCTGGACCTCCCTGGACAACAGCTGCAACTGCTGAAGGATGCTGTCACCGCCGGCCAGGGTAGGCAGGAGAAACCAGTTGTTTGTTTTTTGTTTAACGCCGTGCTCAGCAATTCCAGTTATATGAGGGCGGTCTGCAAATAATCTAGTCTGGACCAGACAGTCCAGTGAATGGCATCATGAGCATCGATCCACGCAAATGGGATACGATGACATGCATCAACCAAGTCAGTGAGCCTGACCACCCGATCCTGTTAGTCGCCTCTTACGACAAGCATTGGTTGCTGAAGACCAATTCTAACCAGGAATCTTCATAGGACGACAAACCAGTTGATGTCATGGGGGACTTGTCACGAAATTCCCCAAGATCCTCAACACTAAAATGATTAAGGTGGCTAAATATTATGATCAATAACGTTGCTTGGATCCCTCGGTTTCACAGTGAATGCTTGCGCATGTTTTAATACGATTTTTGTCTATTCTTTAAACTGTTTTTGTCCCGTCGAAAGTCCGGTTTCGATTCTACACTTGGGTACAATATGTGAAGCCCATTTCTGTCTCCCCAATACTGGTTTTAAAAGCGGCTTAAGACCAAAATAACGCACTCGCTCACTAATCTGAAACAGAGTTATTACTTTTGTGACACGTTAGGTTATAAGTTATGTTATAGTTATGTTATACTATCTATTCACTTCTTTCAGCAACTGGTGCGAAAGTCATCCTCCTTCTATTCAATGCGGGGCCCCTCAACATTACATGGGCTGTTGAGAGTCCCAATGTTCAGGTTATCATGGAACTATTTTTCCCATCGCAAGCAACTGGCGAGGCACTGCGTCGAGTACTTTTGGCGGATGGGCCGAACTCAGTTCCTGCCGGAAGGCTTCCAATCACGTGGCCAAAGTATATTAACACCGTACGAAAATCTTAGTATCTATCTATCTATATGGGTACAATGTGGGAAGCCTTCTGGTGGCACTGCCGACATATTCTTCAACAAATCCTCACAACTCAATTAAGATGGTTACTTTTGTCGTAAAGGGTATGTTCCTTCATGGTGTGAGGTCAACCGTTTTAGAATGTCAGTTCTGCAAAGTGGTTATGTATATTCTTACTTGGTTGCATTGGTTGGTTTGTTGTTTAAAGCCGCACTCAGCAATATTCCAGCTATATGACGGCGGTCTGTAAGTAATCGAGTCTGGACCAGACAATCGAGTAATTAATATCATGAGCATCGATCCACGTAATTTGAATCGACGACATGCATCAACCAAGTCAGCGAGTCTGACCACCCGATCCCGTTAGTCGCCTCTTAAACAAGCGTAGTCGCCTTTTACGGCAAGCATGGGTTGCTGAAGACCTATTCTACCCCGGATCTTCACGGGTCATGTGTTCATACTTACCAGTTCCTGTAAATCTATTGCTTTTTAAGGTTCCTGACATGACAGACTACTCAATGGCCGGACGCACATACCGGTACGCCAAGTATCAAGTTCTCTTCCCCTTCGGCTACGGTCTCTCCTACACCAAATTTGTGTATGACAGTATGAGGTATCTCAATCAGGTGAAAGCTGGGGACGACATCACTGGTTCAGTAACACTCAGCAATCGAGGATCGTTTGACGCTGACGAGGTATGTAACACTGAGTAAATACAACTATTTCACTGTGTCACATCACGGCCATTGTGAGACCAGAAACACCACTGTTTTAGATTGTACTGTATAAATACTCATAGAGATGTAGCCACGGAGTACTATGGTGCATCAGTATCATATAATGTACATAATATAAGACATAAGGAAGGCAGTCTTTAGTGTGCATCCTACCTCGATGTTTTCTTGCTCTTTGTTTGTTTGTATAGCTGAGCAAAATTCCAGCTATATGACGGCGGTCTGTAAATAATCGAGTCTAGACTAGACAATCCAGTGATTCCAATCATGAGCATCTATCCACGCAGTTTCGGATACGTTGACATGCATCAACAAAGTCAGGGAGCCCGACTACCCAATCCCGTTTGTCGCCTCTTACGACGAGCATAGTCACCTTTTACGGCAAGCACGGGTTACTGTAGACCTAGTCTTCCCCGGATCTTCACCGGTCTCTAACTCAATGTACGAAAGTTGACCATGATTTCCTTATTCCAGGTGATCCAGGTGTACATATCCTGGTCTAACCCCACGGTGACGGTTCCACATCTTCAGCTGGTGGCCTTCAACAGAGTGTTTGCACCACGGGGCGTGCAGACTCAGTGGAACTTCACCATCTCGGCAGAATCTCTGGCAGTGTGGACTGACCAGAAGGGATGGGTTGTTGAGCCAGGTAAACGCATACGTTCTGTTGTCCAAATGGTAGTCCTAATTATCGAAAAACCAATGAGTAGCGCTCACACACTAAAATGCAAATATACAATTGGAAAGCTGAACTGTATGTCCATAAAATCAGTTTAATCACCATTTCTCTGTAAATAGTCCCTCATAAAGACAATAACAATTCAATGAAAAGCCGAAGATGTCAGCATGAGGTAGATCATCATTGTTCTCAAGATGTTTTCCAGATGCAAACTGCATATAAATCTCAATGAAATGTGACGGATTTTATATTTCTGTTGTTGCACACTGAATGGTCGTAGCTCTGAAGCCTAACGAAAACCTTCATTGAACTTTATTCCAGATTATAAAGAAAACGTATTAATGTTTATGACACAGTATGTATTCATATGTTTCAGGCGTGGTAGTATTCTGGGTTGGTGGTCAGCAGCCCAACATCAAACCAGATGTCGGATCCAATGTCCTTTCTGGAAAGGTCGAGATCCTCGGACAAAAACGTCTTGGTCGTTATTAATCAACATTGACGAGGAAATTTGAGTTTGGAGTCGTTTCGTTAACAACTATAGATATCCAGTTATTTTACGCAAGTTAATGTCATAGTGTCCCCAAGCCATGATAATATTGGAGGATGTATTGGTTGGTATGTGGCAGAGACTGAATAGACATAAATATAAGCGAAGAAACCCTTTCTATAATCAGTAAGAAATATCTTCCATTGTACGGTTCCAACTATATCATGAACATAGTTTATGAATCACTCGCAAATAGTGATGAGACCAGGTGTTCGTGAAAAGGAAAGCGTATCCTGCCTAACCATTGGCACACATCACAAACGGATGCAAGGGCAAGTCCGCTGGCCAAGTCAAAATAGAGAATTGCATCGGACATAATCTCCGTCACTGATGCGTCAAATTTTAAGGAATGTGGACATTAAAGGACAACCAAAGATGAATACACTCAATATCCGTGTGTATAGTATTCACAATTCTCATCTTGCTATTCATCATCAAAACATTGTATTTTGTCTTTTACACCAATAAATATGTTCTGAATCATGTCTGTTTTTATATAAATGCTTAATTAAACACTGGCGATTTTCAGATTGTCAGATCTTCCTTTCCGAGTCAGAACCAGCATAAGGAGCATAATGAAACATGATTTTTGCAATTTGATGTCATGTCCACCCGTTGTGTGTGACTGGCATTACTAAATAAATACTTTTCTCCTCTACAATTACAATCAATGAGTGAGTTAGGTTTAGTGTCGATTTAAACAATATTTCAGTCACATCACACGCATGTCAGCTTAACGTGTTAGGGAAGTGATGCAGGTCGTAGGTTTTCACAACTGAAGTTTAAACCAGCGAGCACAGGTATGATGCTGGTAAATAAGTCATTATCAGTGCTGGGGTTCGAACCTACAATGCATACATCTAGGATCCCCGTACAGATAAACAAATACGACAACACCATTTATATGAAATCTCTTCCAAATTAAAGCAGAGTCGTTTGTTGTACGATTCCGACTACATCATGAGCACGACATTTTATGGCAAACCAATACAATTGGTATGTATCTTTTAGGAAATATCATTTTAGAATATATTGCCAAACTACAGGAACACACCTTGCATCATATTAGAAGGAAGAGACAGGTGCTCGTACCGGTGATATGTCAAATTACTCGAGGGGGCACGGGTGGCCCAGTCGTCTAAGGCGCCGCGATTCACTGTGCAGAGTTGCGTCCCTTGGGCACGCCATAAACATATGATTGTGGGTTCGAATCCCGGTTCGCCCCGATTATGTTTCTAGGTTTGTCAGCACCATACCCGTGCTCGTGGGTTTAACCGAAGTGGTAAACGTCTGAGACCTGCATCACTTGGGAGTTTCCTCCCACATTAAGCTGACACGCCGTGATATAACTGGAATAATGTTAAAAGCGGCGTTAAACCAAACTCACTCACTCACTCACTCAAATTACTCGAGAATAATATTGCTGGTGAGAATAAAGATCCTTTCGAAGCGCCCTAAAATCAAAAGATACGGTTGTAAACAAATTTGGTCAAAGCCTCATTGACGTATGTATTTCCTTAGATATCCACATTATGAATGGTCGTTGTGGTGAGGATAGAAACACTGGTGAAGATACATGTTTTAGTCACAATGGAACAAGCTTGAATGATTATTGTCTATCTACAAATCGTTTCTCTTGTCATGAATAAAAGAATGTTACAAAATGTGATTTAATCTTGATTCAGAAGGTAGACAGAACTGGACAAGTAATGTTAAACTCATTCTGTTTACTTCAGTTCTGGACTATGCTTGGGTTTACCAAGATGTTGAATGTATAGTTAGTTGTCGTAACCTTTTTCAAGCCAGAGTGATGTACCGCAAAGAATGGACGAATATATTATCATCTAGAGCTAGATATAAATATTATGCACTTTTTTAAAGATAAGCCTAGAAGCAAAGAAATATTTAATAAATTCCACCTTGTGCTACTGATTTTGCTCGTGCTAGTTTTGGATGTACGAAGCTTAATATACAGGGAGACACCACAACATTTCAAAATCTGAAAGATTATGTACATGACGTAGCGCGTCTTTTGGGTGACGTAGCTTGTCTTTTGGGTGTACTACTTAATTGGGGGAATTAGCGGTAGCAGCAGTCACGACTGGCTATCACCTTGAAGGACAGAGAAGGCTGTTGAGTTGGTGACGTTTATTGGTGGAAGCAGAGTGAAGTTTGCTACCACCGACCGCCGTATATATACAACTCAGGCCTTCATTACGTTACATAACTAATGATCACGACATCCCAGGTGGCAGCTGTTGATCGGCTGTAACTATGGGTGGGTGTGTCATTATTTACGGATTTATTCAAGTAGGTTGTTATATTGCCTAACTGACCCTTATATCACAGTCGGACTGACCATGTGTGCCGGCCCTGTGACGTGAAGTTAACTCACTAATCACTGGTTCTCAGAGAGAGTGTCCCTTTGTGTCGGCCTGGCTGGGCAGACTTGCATAATGAGCCACTGTCTCACAGCTGGAGTGACCGTGAGTTTAGCCGCATATGTGAAACATAAAATATCTTGTATGCGGCGGTCAATTCGCTATACTGAATTTACTTTAAGAATAGTTAGATTAGTTTACCGATATAGATTGATTGATATATATTTTCTAATAGGAATTTGGTGTTAGAAGAAAGCTATGACATACATATTGTTATCTGGACAATATCAAAGATATGTATCATTTCACCTTTATATGTCCATCCTTAAAATATATTCGAAAGCAATACACACAAAATAAATATGTCATTCGGGCGTCAGTTCAACAATCTATTCCCCTTATGGCAACCACAAAATATTAAGATTTAAAATCTGTTATGTTATATTTCAAATATGCCTTTAGTTCTAGAAATGAAACATGATTCTACTTGTAAAATTATCCTGAACTGTATTATATACACTTCATGTATTAAAAAATAAAATTTGAAAATAGGGAATTGCATCGAACATCATTTTTGTAATCGTGCGTCAAATTGAAAATGTCCTCCACATGTCTACCATGAAACGTTTTGGAAGTTTTACTGAGATCTTGAATGTTGTAATCTTGATCAATCTTGACGCGCTTTGTGATCTTGGAAGAAAGAGCATGCGCGATTCTACCTCAAAAGTTGTGAAAATGTAAACATCAAAGGCTAGAGCTGCACGAATATTGCTCGACAAAAGGGGAACGTTGACTATTGGAAAGTTGAAGTTATCCCTCTTAATCATACAGTGTCGAAGAGAGTGTTTTGTCACTCTGAGTCTTTATTCCAAGATCCAAATATGAGACAGATCAGGCGGTCTCACTGGTCTCCTATATTTCTAGTTCAGGTGGGTACATCAGTGAAGTGAAGTAAATTGGCTTTTTGATGGTTATTGAACGATCATCGATATACCTGAAGCTTATTACTTCTTGGCCAAATTACTTTCTTTTTACTTTGCCAATCCGAGTAGAAATTCATATGCATTAACAAAAAGATCAACAAGAAGGAGGGGGACAATTCATGCCAAGAGAGATGCCTACATTTTGCCTAAATGCTTACACGAACGCTCACAACTCGACTTTGGGCCAATCCGTGACCACCATGCATCCAAAACGTAAAACCTTTTTTTTATTATTGACGTGATTGTTAATGGGGAATGTCAGTCTTTTCATGAGCAATTAAGCAAACTTTGTTAATGACATGAGACGAAATGCTGTACATTTGTCAATGCTGCAATACATACAACTTATTCTCTGACAGGAGGAGCCATACAATTGTGGGGGAACCATGACACTTTGTTGTTTCAGGTAGACCTGAGATTGCACAGTGTGACACTGCTATTTAACCACGTCACTCATTAAATCCTCCGAAATTCACAATCATATATGAATCCAACAAGTACCAACATAAATTTACATACATTTAACCATACTAACTTATAGTTTGTCCTATATAGATGTATTAAACAGGCTACTCACACGCACGCACGCACGCACGCACGCACGCACACACGCACGCACGCACATTTATTTATTTTGTAAATATATGTTTTCATGATTATTCTTTCAATGTATAAATATAGGACAAAGTCAGTGGAGAACCAACAGCAACATTAATCCATTTTAGCCAAAGTAGGCGATTTTGTATCACTATAATTTTTTAATTTGGCGTTTACACGATATACGGCTTTTCCATTGGACGAGAGGTCGGTCACATGACCGCGAAATTGACGTTCATAAGTGTATGAACGACACAATTTGACGTTCATACGTTTTTCACGAGACTGTGTTCTTGAAATGACGTAAACACTGACGGACTACTTCCACATTCCTGGGGAAACCCCTGGGAATTCCCTAGCACGAAAACATACATAAACATTATTTCTGATCATTTAGAACCTTTAATCTTGGTCTCAGCATTTCAGTATATATTGAGAAACGTAAGAGAGCTTGACTGCATGATTGTTCACAATTTTTTCCTCGCTACGGCCCATCCTAATGAACAAACGAAAAAATGCACATCCAAACTATCGTCAGTATCGACTCGATCTGTGTCTAGGCTGACAGTGATTGTCTCCAGCAATTTACGAATTTACCTTGGTGTCTGTTTGACGCATCTTTAATCACCTTTCAATAATTGGTCAGTTGATCAATGATGACTAACACATTTAACCGCCACAGGTTCATTAACAACTTCGGAAATCCTCCCGTCACGTTTATCGTGTCGGCCATTTTGGCGTCTTGTACTTGATTTAAATGTATTACGACGCGCTGTCATTGTGACTGACTTACTGAGGTAGTTCATTACAGACCTTTCTCATCTAATGGGGATATTATATGAACACATGTGTTGCGTAGGATGTTTCTGAAGAGCAAGTTCTGCATCCATTCGCTCATGTCACCTCTTTTTGGGGGGAGCTATTTTATTCCGCGGTATATCTGGTTGTTGTTTGGCTGTCAGTGTAAACATGAAGTCACACGTACTAAACAATAAAACTGTGTTTAGATCTTGGCCTACATCCTTTGAGGTAAGAAATTGTGATAAAAAATTATAAGAACTGACTTTCGGAGACGACGTTCATACAGTTTGGCCCTCACTCTATGAAGGTTCATACTCCAATGAACTCACACAAAGTGAAGGTCAGTTCTTAATTGAAAAGCATATAAGTTAGTCCACGGCTTAATGGATCCGGGTTAGAATCGGTCTTCAGCAACCAATGTTTGCCGTAAAAGGCGACTCACGGAATAAGGTTCACTGATTAGGTTGATGCATGTCACCGTATCCCATGATATCAATCACTGGATTGTTTGGTCCAGACTCGATTATTTACAGACCGCCGTCATATAGCTGGAATATTGCTGAGTGCACTTGAAAGTGGCTTTATTCGTTCAATTTATTTCGAAAAGGTTGACTCCAGGGGTGTCTTTGATTGTTGAAAATCATCTTGATACATGCCATTTGTTAACTTTAATAATAACTATGGCTGGTGCTTGCAAACCTCGGTTTTTCTAAAGCTTCTT